AAATGCAAAAAATAGATTTGCACCTCACTATTGGAGTTGCTCTCATACATATTAAGTTTTGAATGCATAAGTGGAGAAATAGTTAGGTGAGATAATATTTTGCGATGGATTTATATATATAAATATCTTATCAATTAAATATGCGTGCATGTGGACGATAACGTTGAATTCAAAGATTTGCTCGTCCAATATCATTATGTCGGCAGCTAGTTGATGTTATCTTTTTGGATTATTTTAAATGCTCCTAACCACCAAATAAATTAGGATAAATCCAATCTTAAATTATTATTTAATATTCTTCTGGAGAATCAAAAGTACTATACTACCTTTATATGCAATTTTCGGCCAAACTGCATTCAACATTTTTTGTCATGCATTTATTATTTTCGCCGATTTATTATTATTATTATTATTATTATTATTATTATTATTATTATTATTATTATTATTATTATTATTTTTAAATAATAATAATTTATTATTATTATATATATATATATATATATATATATATATATATATTTTTTAATTTTTTTTATTTTCAAATCAATATGTTTACTGTACTGAAAATAACTTCATATAACTGTAGTAAATTATAGTAATTCGTAGTTATGTTGTTTTTTTACCCCATATTTTTAGTCAATCAATTATATACACACAAATATTGGCTTATACTAAAGAAATTTATAAATCTCAACAATAAAAATTTACAAATTTCACCTCATAATCAATAAAATACAAATCGAAAATACACAAATATATGCATATGTAACTACATGATACTATATGTAACTAGTAATGTTATAGTAATACTCTATGTTGAACAAAGGAACAAAGTAGATGTAACTTCAACCAAAAAAATTGACACCTTCAAGGAAAGGATCAATGGCCTACATTAAGCTGCAATTGCAAAATCAAAACAAAAAAAAAATATTTTAAATCAACAAAAATTAAAGAAACATTAAAACACTCAAAAAACAACAAACACTAAAATATCGAGAGAGAGAGAGAGAGAGAGAGAGAGAGAGAGAGAGAGAGAGAGAGAGAGAGAGAGAGAGAGAGAGAGAGAGAGAGAGAGAGAGAGTGTGTGTGAGTTTTAATCAAACCGTCAATGACTCCTCACCCAAGCGCCCAAAACCCTAGCCGCCGCTAACCACCTAAGATTCCGCGCTCATAAATGCAAAAAAAATATAGAAATAAATCTGAAAATATAAAATGGAATGAAATTGACATCAAAATATAGATCCCTACGAGAAGAATCCAACGGTGGGTAGCCCGTCAAATTCCGACTGGCGAAAAATAAATTACACCTTTGGTAAGACCACTGTCGTCAAAATATGCCGACTAAAAAAAATTTCATAAACAGATCCATCACTCCAAACTGAATGAAATAACCATCAAAAGAAAGAGCTCGACGAGGGGAATCCAACGATAGTTGAACCATCGAATTCAAACCACCGGGGAGAGAGTTATGACTCCGGGAAGCAATATCGCCGGTTTGAGACCTTGGGGGGCGAAATTTGGATCTGGGAGTTGAGATAGCAAGATAGAGACCGATATGGGTTGACTAGGGTTTAAAACTGATTTAAAAGTGTATTCCGGGTATTTCAGAGTGGGCTAGGGGATGTGTCAAATTATTATCCAAATGAAAGGGATTTGCACTATCATATAAACAACATGGTAGTTAGTTATATATATTTTCGAAATGAGGGGTCTCTAAAATAATCTCTATTTTTTTTTTGTTTTTATTATTCTAATTTGTTTGAACTATATTATATTTGATGGACATTTTGTTTTGTGGGTGTGTTTTGAATAAAAGATTGAGTTAATTGCACATAACCACTATGTATAATCTCAAATGGCTAAAAAGCCTATGTTTTAAAAAGATTAGCACAAAACTTCTTATAGTGTTTTTGACAAAGCATAGTGCCCTTGTGAAATGGGCTGTTGACTTATTGGAAATGACTAACTTACTCTTAATTACAAATAAAGTAAATGCAATCTATACCCGAAAAAAATACCCCCAAACCCAAATTGCATGAAAATGTTTATTATTTTATAAATATTTTCTTTTTGTATTTTTTAAATATATTCTAGAATTAAATATTTTATATTATTTTATCTAAATATTTTATAATTACTTTTAATTTTTAATTAATTCTAAATTTTCATCAACACATTAATAAGCCCTACCGCTTTTGCCTCTTTGACCCACACTGTCTCACTCGGTGAGATCCAGAGCGCGGCCGTGGCGACAAAGGCTTCTTGTCTAGGGCAATTAGTGTGTTGTTTTCGCGAAAGTTCTATTATCGGTTTACTGTGTATTGTTTATGAATTTAAACTCTAGTGGAATAAAATGGGGATAGAGTTTTGATGATTTGGAGAGTGGGTGTGTTGAAAATGCTAGGGATTGAATTGAAAAATCTAAAAACTTCATTTTTGGTTATGAAAATTATGGGGTGCATCTGTAATTTTTAAGATCTTGATTGAAAGGGTATTTAAGTCTTTTACCGTCACAAATCACGACTGTATCAGTCCGCGATCTCGCATGGTCTTCGTTCCGTTGGACTAAAATTCATAGGTGGATTTGTTCTAAGTTTTTTAATACAAGAACTTCTTAGGCAATTCAAGATTACAAAGGGATTGTTTTTGCAAAAGAAAAACAAAAAATGGGGGGCCGTAGCTATAATTTATGTCCCATCATCTTCACAAGGCATATCCAAATTGATTTGCTTTTGGATAATGCTAAATTTCCACCTGTGTTCACAATTTATTTTTTAGTTGAATAATCTAATCGAACCCTACACAATACTATTAAATCATAGAATTTTACAGCTCGATTATTAATTAATGCACTAAATAATAAGAATCAAAGCATATGAAGAAAAAGACAAGCTATAGCTATTATACTATAATGAATAATAATTGAGCAAAAAGCTTACTTATTAGAACTCCAAATTGAAGCCAAGATTCAGACTGCAGAAAATGAAGCTTACCAGTAATATAGTTCCTCTGATTCTGTTAGTATTATTGTGTAATAAATATGAATATGGTGCAGCAAAAAGATCCACATATATTGTACACATGGATAAATCCTACATGCCCAAAGCCTTCTCCAGCCACCATCATTGGTATTCTTCCATTCTTCTTCATTCTACTGCTAAATCATCACTTCCGAACAACAACAAAGTCAACAACAAAGTCAAAACAAACCTTATCTATACTTACGACAACGCCTTCCATGGATTTAGTGCAGTCATGTCTGAATCTGAATTGGAGGCTTTGAAGAAATCCCCAGGTTTTATTTCTTCCTACCCCGATGACGTCATCACTGCCGACACCACCCACTCCACTCAATTCCTCTCCCTCAACACCGCCGCCGGGCTGTGGCCCGCTTCCGACTACGGCAAAGACGTCATTATCGGAGTCATCGACACCGGTATTTGGCCGGAGAGTCGGAGCTTCAGCGACACCGGAATGACCGAAATACCCCCTAGATGGAAGGGTATTTGCCAAACGGGCCAAGAATTCAACTCATCGTCGTGCAACAAGAAGATCATCGGGGCCCGCTATTTCAACCAAGGCTATCGGGCCGAAAGTCCCGACTCTGTTATAACCATGAACTCGGCTAGGGACGTGGACGGCCACGGGTCCCACGTCTCGTCCATTGCCGCCGGTAATTATGTCGACGGTGTTTCCTTCTTCGGCTACGCACCGGGGACCGCCAGAGGGGTGGCCCCACGCGCCAGGCTGGCGGTGTACAAGGTCCTCTGGGGCGGGGGCGTTTCGTCCGATATACTCGCAGGTATCGACCAGGCCGTGGCCGATGGTGTCGATGTACTCTCGATTTCTTTAGGCACCAATCGGATAGATCTATACGAGAACCCTCTTTCCATAGCTAGCTTCGGCGCTAGAGAGAAGGGAATCGTAGTTTGTCTCTCGGCAGGGAACCGGGGCCCGTTTACTCGGAGTATACGATCCGGAATCCCATGGGCTGTAGTTGTCGCAGCTGGCACCGTTGACCGTTGGCTCGCCGGGAAGTTGACTTTAGGGAACGGAAAAGTCATCACGGGATGGACCACATTTCCCGCAAGAGCCGCAATCAGAAACTTGCCCCTCGTTTACAATGAAACCTTATCGGCCTGCAACTCAGCTGAGCTGGCGCAAGCCCCCGACCAAAGCATCATCGTGTGTGATGTCACCACCGGAAATACAGGTTTCGACACCGTGATGAGAAATCTACCCGATTCAAATGTCAGAGCAGCTATCGTAATCGCTGAAGATCCACGTATATTTCGATTCAATTCATTTCCTTACCCGGGAGTCGTAATCACACCGAACGAAGCACGGGAGGTAATCAGCTACGCAGCTAATAGCTCTGCGCCAACAGCAAGCATCGCTTTCCAACAGACGATTCTCGGGACCGAGCCGAGAGCAGCTCCAGCACTGTCGGACGATTCGTCGAGAGGCCCGGGATTGAGCTACGAGGGCATATTGAAGCCCGATTTGATGGGGCCCGGAGTGTCGATTTTAGCAGCTTACAGTCCATACGCAACGAGTACACCAACAATCGGAAACAACATATTCTTGTCGACCGACTACACTCTCTTGTCAGGCACATCAATGGCTTGCCCTCACATCTCCGGAACTGCTGCGCTTCTCAAATCCGCGCACCCCGATTGGAGTCCCGCAGCTATTCAGTCGGCTATGATGACAACTGCTAATCCTCTTGATAATACTAATCAGCCAATCAGGGAAGTGGATGGCACAGTTGCCACACCTTTAGGCATTGGATCGGGCCAGGTTGATCCGAACCGAGCACTCGATCCGGGACTAATTTACGATGCTACAACACAGGACCTCGTGAATCTTGTTTGCTCCATGAATTTCACAAGCGAACAAACTCAAACCATTGTAAGGTCGACAAACTACAATTGCTCGAATCCTTCATCGGATCTCAACTATCCCTCTTTCGTTGCTCTCATTAACTTTGAGGATATAGGAAGGGTTTTGACGAGGAGATTTGAAAGGACGGTGACGAATGTAGGGGACGCAGCAGCCAAGTACCGAGTGAAAGTCGAAGCACCGGTGAATACGACGGTCAGAGTTCGGCCACAGACTTTGGTGTTTCAAAAGAAGAATGAGAAACAGAGCTACACTGTTACGATTCGTTATAACGGTGATATTGAAACACAACATAGGCCAGGTTCGCTCACTTGGATCGAGCAGAGCGGCAAGTACACGGTGAGAAGTCCAATTATGGTTTCAGCTGGAGCTGATAATTTTTCCTAGTTTATGGAAATGCTTGTAATTTGAATAAGCATAAAAGCATGAATGAAGGTGGGATATAATATATAATCCAGTAACCTTCCTCTGGACCAGCAATATGCACCGGTGAATGTATTTTTTGGCTAAATGCAATATTTGCATATTGCATAAAAAGACTCTCACAAGGATAAAAAGAATTTATTAGAATTTTATTTTCGGCATTCTCAATTAAAGGCACGCCCTTATATAATCGGGTTGGTTTGTCTAGGGTGAGATCCAAACAACACCACATATATGAGATATGCCTCCCAAACAGCGCAATGTGTCCCAGCACCACAGCCTTATTTTTTTATTTTTATTTTTTATTTATGTATTGTTGTAAATACTCTTTCTTCACTATTACATTACAAAAATCAGAAATTACAAATTTCCAATGAAAAGTATATGTTACCCTTTAAATTTTTTTTACAATTTAAATCTATTTATTACTGAATTTTGAAAGTCAATCATACCTTTATATACTCAAACATATTAAAAAACTAATTGATATTATTTCCTAATAATGCTGATTTATCTCCCTAATCTCTCTCCAAATCAAATTCGTTCTCCATCTTCATCTTCGAAATCTGGTCTTACAGTTTTACGATTAATTAATTTCTTCATTAATTTTTTTCGATCCATCATTATTTTCTTACTTTGCTACAAATTTGAAGTGCGCATCATTACACGATTCCTTCCGAATAAGTTTATTCAAGGATGTCTAATTAAGAAGAATTAGGTAGTTACTTGCATTTCGATAATTACGGTGTTACTGACGCTTGTTTGTTTCCTTTCTTTTGAATATCATGGAAATCTCCTAATATCCATTGTAGCTCTTTATTCTCCTCATTGGTTAATTTCGTGTCTCCGTTCCAAATTACCTCAACTGAATCTGTTATTTTTTCTTTCGGAGCAGTAACGGAAATTTTGGGCTCTTCGAAAAAGTAAACTTCGTTATCTCCCTCTCCCTTCAGGGATAGGTCCGGCAGTGGCAGCAATGGTGGTAGCGTTGGACGTGGTGGTGATGGTGGTGGCGGTGTTGGTTGCAGCCGGTCCCTTCGCCTTTTATGTTGACGTCTTCTTTGATTTTGTTTGAGCAATTTATGGACAGTAATCCACTGTTTTTTTTTCAATCACTCCAAATCTCATGTTGTCTAACATTATGATTTTCGCAAAGTTGTGATTTTATCTCAACTTTGCTCAAGGGTGGCTTTGATATAATCGGTGCTTTGCTAGCGAAGCGTGGATGTTATCGCAACCTCGATCTGGTACCAATTGATACGATCTCTTGGGTATCATAAGATTTACTTACAAAACGTAAGAACACTCAAAAGAAATATGATTCTGCAGATTAACACTAGACAGGATACAATCTCTGGGGTATCATAAGATTTAGGCTGCGGCTATATGCAATACTAATTCCACTTGTGCAAGACCAAATTAAAGAAAGATTCCAAAAGATTCTATTTTATTAAGATGAAATGACAAATATACCCATAAATTAAATTGACTTTTTTTTCTCATGCAAGACCAAATACAAATAATGAGGAAAAAAAAAAGACGCGTGAATTAAAAAAACAAACAACCCCCCTCCTCAAACCCTACCTATGCCCACCTTCTCCGCCGTCAAAGCTCCGCCGCCCAAGCTCCACCACCGGTCGTCGCCGTCGCCAGCCCGCCGCTCACAATCATGAGTGACCCAAACCTGCCCAACAACGAGGAAAAAAAAAAGAGGAAAAACAAATTAAATTTGAAACTGGTAAAAATCGACACCAAGGTGTCGAAAAACTGTGCTACAAATCTACACTTAAGCGTCGAATTTTATAGGCAAAAATCGACATTGACATGTCGAATTTATAGCACAAATTCGACATTGCCAAATGTCGAATTTTATGTCTAAAAATCGACATCTAAATGTCGATTTTTACCCATAAAATTCGACATGTACATGTCGAATTCGTTTGCGCGCAATTTGTTTTGGAAAAACGATATTCTAGCTAAAAAAACCCATAAATGCATACCTTCATGGGTTTTTCCACCGTAGAATCTTCTATTTTTATGTCTTTTGACTCCATACTTGACATCTTTGTAAAATTTGTTGAGTTTTGATGATTTTGAATGTTTAGGTGTTGTGAGTTTATGGAGGAGGAAGGAGAAAGGTCTTGTAGGTTTTGGAAGATGGAGAAGATGAGAGTTGGTCTTGTGCTCTTGTAATAGGGTTTTTTGTGTTTTTGAATTTTTTTTTTTTTTTTTTTTGAGTAAATTCAAGTCCATTACAAGGGGAAGTAGCCGAAGGCCAACAGGATTTAAAAAAAAAATGTAACTGTTTGTTTCTCTCAAATTGTAATTAAGAAAAAATGTAACAATTACATATTGATAACCAGCAGAAAAGCCTCGTGGATTGAAGTATCATATTGCCATTTACCATTTTAGGAAATAGAAACCTTCAAATTAGAGAACCTGCCAAATCGAGAAAAATCTCTGTAATACCCGTATTTTTTACACTTGGTTGCCAATATAATTCATGCATTTTATATTATTTGATCTAAGTTGAATCATGCATCTATGAGATGAATGTGCTAGTGATTTTTTAATTTATTGGCTCTGCTCGAATAGAGAAGACGGTATGAGATCCATGTCTTCAACTTGTATGTTAGTGTGTGTAGAATTTGATGTATTTATAAGTCATACATATTCTTGAGACTTTGACCTAATTTTGAGCCCATCAAGCATAATATTATTGGGTCACAGTCCACTAATGGACTCCAAGTCCAAATATTTATACGAGCCTAATGCCATGATCGAACTATCAATAGAACAAGGAAAAACTCTAAAATACAAACATAAGGAAAAACTCTAAAATACAAAACAATCTATCCATGATATATAAAATGAGGTGATGGATCTATAATATTTTGAATGCCAGCAAAGGGATTTTTGGTTTGCAATTGACCCAAATTCGAATTCCCTTAGCAACGGTTGCTAGGTGGTGTCACACATGGTTAAATTCAATGTTTTCAGAACCGGACCGCCTATAGAACCGAACGACCATTTGGGTCATGGGTTTACAGGGTCGAATCAGTTCAACTGGGTTTTTAATTTTTTTTAATATGCCATTATTTTATTAATTTTAATGTTTTAAAAATATTATTTTCCCTATGTTTTTAATCTCTCACTTATTATTTTCACTTTTATCTACTTCACCTCACTTTTTACAATATTTTATTGCTTATACCTATATTTTTCCATTTTTTATTCTTCAAATTCGCCAATCGGCCACCCCTATTCGATCACCCATGATCATATCCGACAATTCTTCGACCACTTATGACTAGATCCGGCTACCCACTACTAAGTATGTGGAGGTTCGCTCAAATGTAGCCACAAATAACCAACTCAGTGGTGGTTCGAGACGGTTTTTTGCCGAAAACCGGGTTCCTTGACTGACTCGTCGGTTCTCGGATTTTACCCGGTCGAACCGGATTTTGATCATTCGACCCCAGTTTTCGATTTTTCCAGTTTTAGATGTCAGACCGGACCGCTTTATTGCCGGGTCACGGTCGAACCGGTCCGACCGACCGGTTCGGTCCGGTTCTAACAACATTGGTTAAACTAGTGTGGTGTATGTCTCTCATATAATTTGCAAACTATTATACGAGTGTGTAGGTTTACCCGATAAAATTTTGGCTATAGATTCCTTCATTCAAAAAAAAAAAAGAAAAAGAAAAAAAAAAAGAATTATTGGCTAACAAATAAAAGCGGAGTGTGGTCCTCCTCATTAGAAGGCTCGTACCAGCTTAATCACCCCAAAAATAAATAAAGCAAAATGACCTAAAAAGATAAATAATTGAAGGACGTGGAAGGCACAATATGAATGAAGATAAGAATATCCGAATCGAATCCAGGACATGTTGCACAATTTGCTCTTCTTTCCACGTTCTTCATATTCATAGTATAGTAGTAGTAAGACCAATTCCGAATTAATCCAGAATTTCCTAAACATTAGTAAATTAGAAGGTAATAAATATTTGATTCAAATTATGACAACCTAGATATGACTGCCAAGTTTTACTCCCGCGTATCCACGTGGGCTTTGACCAATTCTCATTTTCCCTATATAAATGCTGTGTATCGTCCTCATATTCAATTCATATATTCTCTCACTCTTCTGCCGAGCAATATACATTACCTCCTCACTTTCCTCTATCCATCTTCATCCGGTTGGTAACCTCTTCTCCTTTTTTTTATGCGTTTCCTTTTTCTTTTTCTGTTTTTCTTTTATGCACATTTCGTTGGTTCCACGATCCGAACAATTACTTTCTTCGTCTTTCTTTTATGCACATTTACGCCCATACAAACTTGCCCAAAGTTTAGAAATTTTGAAGCAAAGCAGCCCAGGCAAATTAATTATCCATCTATTTTCATTTTTTTGTTCAATCCGAGGTCTGATTTTCCTGATCTTTCACGATTTATGATTTGCCTAATTTTAGGTTTTTTGATTGTGTTTAATCATCTTATGTATGTCGTCGCTGTCAATGGGCCCGTTAGATCTGCTAAAGAAAATTAGAATTAGGTTGCATTTGATGGAAGGATTAGTAGTTTGTGTTTATTATTAAATACAATTAGGTTGCATTTGATGGAAGGATTTGGGGATCTGATTTAGGGATTTCAAATAACTCCAAATGATTCACTTAGGTTGCATTTGGATTGGAGGGTGTGATTTCAAATCCATAACAACAAATCCATTGAGTTTGTTTGGATTGATTCATCTGACAACGAATTTCATAGTTCTCTCTTTTATTTTTTTTTTTTTTTTTTTTTTTTTTTCCCGGGCAATTAAGGTAGATTTCAAATCTTTGCCATTTGGACTCATCTCAGATCCTTCAATCCAACTGTTCACAATTAATTCATCTATGTTACGTGTCATATGCCTTGAACATCTACTGTGAACGCCAATTGATCATTGGCATTCAAGAAAATTGAATCTTTACAATATTTAGACAACCCGCACGCACACACATTGCTTGTTCAATTATTTTTCTTTGATAAGTTTTTAATTTCTAAAGGATTTCCACGTACCTTTTCATGAAAAAGTTCGCCTCATGGAAACATAGATACTAGAAACTTCCACATCTGATATGAATATTATATTACAGGAAAAATGAGCGAAGAGAATAATGAAGTGTCACCTCAGATGCGTGCTCCTCGTTTAAATGAGAGAATTCTCTCTTCTTTGTCAAGGCGATCAGTTGCTGCCCATCCTTGGCATGACCTTGAGATCGGTAATTAATTAATTTAATTTATCAACTGAATTTCCAGTCTAATAAGGGCTCTTTAAAACGGTGTTATATTTGATTTCCCGTAAATCTTTTTTGCAGGACCTGGAGCGCCGCAAATTATTAATGTTGTATGTGTTCTTTCTTCTTTCGAATATTGTTATACAATTCTAGAATAGAACATAGTTCAAGTGACATCCGAATTTCGAGATTATGATATATATTAAACAATGGAGCCGATTCCTGGACGTGCATTGTTGTTTTCTTATTCTGGATTTACATATACTTTTGAAATTGCATTTACATATACTTAAAACGTGTTGAACGGAACTTTTTTCTTAGAAATTGCTTTTGCATGTAATTTTAGGTAATTGAGATACCGAAGGGAAGTAAAGTGAAATATGAACTTGACAAGAAAACGGGTCTGATCAAGGTATGGTAAAATAGCATGATTTTTTCAGTTGATAAAAAAAGAAGTTATCTCTCTCTAAATTATGACTTATATCGGATGTTTAAACAAATGGTTAGGTTGATCGTATACTGTACTCGTCGGTTGTGTATCCTCACAATTATGGTTTTATTCCCCGGACACTATGTGAAGATAATGACCCCATGGATGTTCTAGTTCTTATGCAGGTACATAACTCTTATATAAATAATTCAATTTTATTTATGTATATTTTATTTATTTATGTGAAGATAATTGTTGAAACACACTGACAAAGATTTTCCGTCACAGGAACCTGTTGTTCCAGGTTGTTTTCTTCGAGCCAGGGCCATAGGCTTGATGCCTATGATTGATCAGGTACTGCTATTTAACCCAAGGCAATATAATTACTTCCTCGTAGTGGTTAGAGATGTAAGAAATTATATATTTATATATTTTTTTTAATTTTCATTTTTTTTTTACAAAAATAGGGAGAAAAAGACGACAAGATCATTGCAGTATGTGCTGATGATCCCGAGTATCGCCACTACACAGATATCAGCCAACTAGCACCTCATCGATTAACAGAAATCCGACGCTTCTTTGAAGATTGTATCCTTTTGTTTTCAAAGTGTTTCAGTTTTTCTCTCCGATATTTCGTTTAATGTTGTCATTTGAGTAGTTAAAAAACAAACAAAAAATGTTTTCTTAACCAGTATTAAGACAAGAAGAATGAGAACAAAGAGGTAGCAGTGGATGAATTTTTGCCTTCGGGTACTGCCGTTGATGCCATCCAGTACTCAATGTAAGTTTCAAATAAATTTGATGTATCTAATTATATTATGGCTTAATTCTTGTTATTACAGAATCTTACGTGCTAAAAACCTCTATTGTGTTAATTGCAGGGACCTCTATGCTGAGTACATACTGCACACATTGAGGAAGTAAATGAATGAAGGATGGTTCTTTGTGAAGCAAAAAGCTTCTTTATCATATTATCAACTGGATTCTTGTTCTGCTTTTTTTTTTTTTTAATTGAATTTTTTTGGTTCAATTTATTGATGAAACTCTTATTTGGGAAACTTATCGCAAAACCTTGATACCATTTATGTACGAATTTTGGGGATCGGATACTTATATGAATTTGAAGTTCCGACAGCACAGCTATCTTGCTGTTATTTATGTACAATGCTTCTTTTTTTATTTTTTTATTTTTGGGCTTTTGCTGTCATTTGATGTTTTAGGTTCTGAAAATTCAAGTTCTTCTCAACCCAGAATTCTGATTTTGTCCCCCAATAGGGATTTTTTTTTCTTTTTTTTTTTCAATTTTAATTGTCTTTTTTGGCATAAATTCATTATTCATTACTATCAGTCTATCATCACAACTCAGTTCATAGAGAATTTGAGTCGGACTATTGCAGTCATATTTTGAAAAATAAATCAATAGGAAACATATTTTATTGAGTTCCACTAACAGACCTGGCCTTTTCAGTGTGAAGGCATTGTTCCTTTTTCTCTCCTAAGAAAAAAAAAAAAAAAGAAAAAGAAAAAAACCGAGTTTTAGAGAGTTTAATATTATCAAGAATGTTGTAATAAATAACATAATAAATATGGTTCTTCCTATCATTTAGCCATAACGAAGGAAGTTAAATTAACTTCCAACTAGAAAGCAACGACCTATTACTTGTAACATTTTTTAACTCCTTAGTGGTTTTTGCCTATATTAATAAGAAAAATTCCTTCCCTCTAATGATCCCAACATTATCTATTTACGGATTGTCCCTCTTGATGTTCTTACCTGTTACTGTTATTTATGTTCTTGTGCATTACTCCAACCAAATAGCTAGATTAAATAGGTCATTTTAAAACACATTATCAACACGAAATGCTCGCCGTGATCGTTGTCGTGGAAAGACAATTGTTCGTGGGGCGAGGATACCCGAATAATTTGCGATTTGGGTGCTCGTAGAAAACCAACTGTTTGTGGTCCGTGGATGCTTGAAGAACTTGTGATTCGGGTTCGTTCGTGAAGCGGTGATCTTGTCTGAAGAACACTATATATTTTTCATAATATTTGGATTTAAGTGTTTCAAGTAAGCTTTGATTCCTCAGAATTTCAATTTTGTGGGATGCATGCTAGACAAACGTGATTCACATGATATGTATGAAGCATATATTTATCTTGCATTCATTACATCATTTATTTCGTGACGATCCTGGTAATATGACATTTGTTAGGAAATCTTTATTCTGTAATTAGTGTTGTAAATATGCCTTAATATTACTTGTAGAAATTAGAGTTATTTTGAGCACGTCTAATGATCACGAAGACTCACATATATATATATATATATATATATATATATATATATATATATATATATATATATATATATATATATATATATATATATATATATATTTCTTGTTATTAGGCTGAAATGACAATGGACCTGCCGGGTGACATTTTATTATTTTCGAAGATAACTGCATATGTGAGTCTGTTTATTTTAGGGATAAGTGTTACATATGATATAATTTAGGAGTGTAAACTGTATTACCCTTTAATGTATTTAAAGCATAATATATATACTATCGGATTTAAAAAGAAAATCAAATCATTACATTAAAACATGATTTTTTGAATTACTTTTGTGAAATTCTATAAAGATAATATATTTCAAGGAATTAATACTAAAAAAATACATAAAAATACGAAAATATAAACATAATATAAAAAAGTAATATATAAAAATTCGAAAATATGTATATAATATGAAAAAAAATTAAAATATATGCATAATATAAAAGGGCAAATGGCAAATGGCAAAAAGGGACATGACAAGGGACTTAAATGCACATTGGTCCACAAAAAAAACAGTCTTTTAAATAAACTAATCCTCATGTCTTTAGTCTAAATACCCTCCATAGTATATTTTTTATCAATTTCATCCATTATACTCTAACTTCCTTAATATTACACATTGACCCTGGATTTAAACAAATATATCACATTAACCCCCATTTTAATAATTTTTTGAAAAAATATTTATTTTTCAGAAAATAATTTTTTTATGAATTTTTTTTCCGGCCAGATTCCGGCGTTGACTGGGTGGTTCTCCGGCTTTGACTTCCTTTTTTTTTTCAAAGACTTTTTTTTCCTTAGAAAAAATATTTTAATTAATATTACTGTCTTGGCTTCTAAATTATCAGACATTAATATTACTATTTGGGACAGTAATATTATAAATATTATTTTCCCGAACAATAATATTACTAATAATACTGTCCCAAACAGTAATATTATTGCATGAGACAGTAATATTACTGTCCCCGATCGTAATATTACAGTCGAAGACAGCAAAATTGTAGGCCAAGACGATAAAATTAATTATTACGGTAAAATTACTGTCTCATAGAGTTAAATTACTGTTGGAAACAGTAATTTAGCAACCAAGACAGTAATATTAATTAAAATAATTTTTTTTAAGAAAAAAGAGTCAATTAATAGTTAAATTACTGTCTCCGACAGTTAAATAACTGTTGGAGACAGTAATTTAGCAGCCAAGACAGTAATATTAATTAAAATATTTTTTAAGAAAAATAAAAGTCAATTAATAGTTAAATTACTGTCTCCGACGGTTAAATAAATGCTGGAGACAGTAATTTAACAGCCAAGATAGTAATATTAATTAAAAAAAATAATTTAAGACAAAAAAAAGGTCAATTTACAGTTAAATTATTGTCTCCGACAGTTAAATAACTGCTGGAGACAGTAATTTAGCAGCCAAGACAGTAATATTAAGTAAAGTATTTTTTTAAGAAAAACAAAATTAAAAAATAAATAAGTCAACGCCGGTGACCCAAGCGGTCTCCGGTGGTGGCGGGTCAAAATTGAAATTAGGGTCAAAATTAGTTAATTGGTGAAATTAGGCTAAATTGGGGTGTAAATCATGAAATTGGAGTTGAATTGGGTTTCAATGAATTGAGGGTAATTTTAATATATAGAAAAGGGTTTTCCTTATTTACAAATAAGTTTAAATGAACTGGAAATATTTGAAAAACAAAAAAGTTGGATGTCCCTTTTTTAATTAAGTGCCCTTATCTTGGGTCTTTTTGAGATTAACCCAATATAAAAAAAATGAATATCCATAAATAAAAAATTCGAGTTTTCTAATTTTTTTTTTAAATATAGGCAGTATTTCGAAAAATTTAATATATTAAAAAGATAATATTTTTCGAATTTAATATATATTATATTCAAACCACAAATTTATTAACATAATTATTTAAATTACAAATTTAAATAAAATAATGCAAAAAACATACAATCAACATATTACGTTTTTTGGAAAATTAATTAAGTGAAATAATATATTCTCTTTCATTTTTTAAAATATAAAATTCATGAAAGAATATGTATATGTGGTCATTTATAAGTAAATGTGCAAATGTTAAATAGGAAAAAAACTTAAAAACATACAAAGATTAAAATGCCCAATAAGTAATTGAGTATTACATAATATCAATTGCATGGTGCAATGTGTTAAATTACTCTTAATTTGAGGGTGCACAGTAGACATGGCTACGGGCCGGGTTTGACCCAGACCCGGCCCGGACCCGCCCCGTTGACTGCCCCGCCCCACCCCGGCCCCGCCCCGTTGACCACGGACTCGGACCCGCCCAAGCACGGGTCGGTTTCGGGTCCAGATATCTTGGACCCGAGACCCGACGGGTCTACCCGGCGGGGGGGCCCGAGGACCCGTCGGGTCAACCCGGATTTCAGGTTTTTTTGTCCAAAAATTGGTGTTTGGGGGATTCAAACTCGGCCGAATTTGAGCAACTCCAACCACTGGGGCAACGAACATATTTGATTAAATGTACGCAATAAATATATATAATATAACACGCTAGTGTAAAATGATAAATATGTTAAATAAATTATTGATTTTCATATTAATTATTATTAAATAATTTTAATTAAATTATTAACAAATGCAATATAAGAAACTTTTAAAAATATATATAGAATCACGGTTCAATACTTCAAAACATCTATTATTGATTACTATTATCAATTCAATATATAAACAAACGCGTTGACTTAATACAAACTCACTTATGTTATTAAAATCGATAGTGTGAAAAATTCGAATGATAAATAAAATAAGATGTTTATTTAAAAAAATAAATTATAACTCATTTCAATTAATTTAAATTGATTAACCTCAATTGTTGACAAGAACTTATTAAAATTATTGATTATTTTATCATAAGATAATTATTTAAAAATATAGATGATGTTTATTTTAAAAAAAATAGATTATATCTCATTCTAATATATTTTTTTCTTTAAAAATAAAACTATATATGACGAGTATAATCAAAATATGATAATTAATAATCTATTTAACATTATTTATTATAATCATTTTACACCTTTTGTTTATGTTATATATATTCCTTGTTATAATAATCCTAACTATAAATATATAAATATAAATAACAGTGTAAAATGATTATAATAATTGTATAACTAATGTTTTATAAATTATTAATTGTCATGTTGACTATTATTAATATAAAAAATCTCGACTTATAACAAATGCATGTATATTTAATTTTGAAAAATATAAAAAAATACGATTTAATTTAAAAGAAATATTGAATTTTGATATTTTTTGAATTTTGAAATTTTGAAAAAATTCTCAATTATTACTTGCACTTATAAATACCCATAATTCAATCTTCACAACTTTCATTTTATTTAGTTTATGTCTCAAAGTCTTAATCTTTCATTTTTTTCTAAAATTGTTTAGTGTTTAAATTTAATTATTTTTTTAAATTTTGAATTTAAAGTTAATCTTATGTTTTTTCAAGTTTCAATATAAGTTTTTTTATTCTTTCTTGTAAATAAATAAATAAATAAATAAATAATTGAAAAACCGGGTGGACACGGACCCGGCCCGGACCCGGTGATACGCGTTTTCCTCACGTATAAATTACCGCAAGTATACGGTATCGCATTTTGCAGAACAGTGGTTCCGGATATCGATCCACAGGGACCTTGTAGATTCAAATGCTGAGTAGTGTAATTATATTATCGTTATATTATCTAGCCGATCGTAAATAAGTGGATTGGTGATAAACCCTAATTTATAAGCATGCAAGATCGTAAACATGCAAATATGGAATGTACGTAAATAAAGTAACGAAAACTCAACGCGGGGGACTTTGATTTTAAAGGGGACTTCTAGGGCCAAATCCACCTATGTATAATCAATAACGATCTACAAATCCGCTATCTAATGTCACATTCCTATTCGTTAACCCAGACGCTAATGTACTCTAACCCCCGTCTCCAGTGTAGTTAGAGTCTACCCACAGGTCCGACGTCTCCGTTCAGAACCTGCTATTAAGAGAGCATTTAGGTCAAGTCCTTAAGGGCTACCCGAAGTGCATCACGTCTCCGTTTCCACACCCCGAGCTATGTTTTCCTAACTTCAAACAAGAAATCCTCTCTCGAGTTCATTCCTATTTAATATCAATCTGAGAGCTGATCAACACAATCAGAAGCATTTAATACAGGAAAACATAAACGAAATCAAAACACGACAAATAGATAACAGAAATGACGATCGAAATCAATATATACAAGGCTTCATTGCCCTAGAAGAAAATGTTCTTAGTTCAAAACAAACATGATGTCAAAAGAATGTACACAAGAAAAGAAGAACAAAACGTAAAGAAATATCGTAAGAAAAACCCAAGTCGAAACCCTCGTTGAAGATTCCCGCGAAGAACTGTCGAAAACCGAAGAAAGTCGAAGATACCGTCGAAGAATGATGGCTGACTTCTATTTATAGTAAGGCAAAGCTTCTTGAGGAAGCTTTGCCTTTTTAGATATTTTTTACACATCCCGAGGCCATATCGCGATATGGGTTACCGTATCGCGCGATATGGCCAAAAAGCAAGCTCTCTGTTTCGTTTCTCCCCATATCGCGATACCGGATGGCATATCGCGCGATATGGCAAAAATGCAAGCTCTCTGTTTCATTTCTCCACATATCGCGATACAGGATGGCAATATCGCGATATGGTGACTGTCTGAACTTGAAACTCCGTGTTGACCCTTTTTTAACCCGAATTTGACAATTTTGCATTTCACAAAAGTTGTAGACCTTGAAGTTGGCTTTGTAAATCTACTTGAATCAGCTCAATCGGAGATCGTATGAAGAAGTTATGCGTAAAATACCAAAGGCTGCCACCATCCACTTGATTGCAATATTTGCTCTTGTTTGACTTGATTCTCGGCTTCGCTTTCAAAATCGTTTCGAATCGGCAAAAATATCTAACAAAACCTAAAAATAGAAATAAAACAAGAAACGCAATAATATATACAAATAAAGCCGAAACTCGGACGAACGAAGACCAAAACTCGAAGATTTGATAAGCAAAAATCGTGCAAAACGAACACTTATCACACCCTCAAACTTAGATCTTTACTCGTCCCGGGTAAATCAAAACGAAACTACAACAAAAATGAAAATAAAAACAACAAACTAAACTAGGCCACTAACGTAGGGAATCACGATTGCATTTAGCGTATGCAACAAGCCTTTGAACCCCTGGGTACCCCCAAAGGACGAGTTGTGTCTCGTGAGGGTTTTCAGACAACACACCCACAAAGTTGCCGGATTGGTCAAAGCATTGCAATTAATTCCAAAGATAAAACGAGCTAGATAACCTAAAATCTCAGAATGGCCCACGGCTTTAAGGTATTCGACTTTCCTACCGACGCAATTAGTTGTTTCTACACCAAAATGAAAGATAGACTCAAGAATCCGTAATTAAACAATAAACACAATCATCGAGGGTTTTGAGTAGAAATGTGGGTGAAAAGTAAGTTTTGACTCTGAAATTCAAAAACTCGAGTTGGGCATAAGTAGGTCTTTTTATTCAATAAGAAATGACAACAACAATACATTGTGATTTTCACCACAACTTTCTTTTTTTTTTTTTTTTTTTTTTTTTCTTTTTTTTTTGACGTAAAATAAAAGCGTAAAGACCATTGATAGAACTTTTAGCCAACAACTCAAAATCGTGAACACATAATTCAATTCTAACTCGCCCCCCAAACCTCAGGCTATTATACCCCTTAGAAAAATGCGCTCCAGCTTAATCGGAAAGGGTTCAAAAGGCTATCCACACAAGTTGCAAAAACGCAGTCGGAAGGTTCATCTATAATTAGCCGGTGATCCATAATTTCAATTTTAAAATCACTAGCCCATCTACTAATTCATTAATTGCTTTGCTTCAATAGAACCCTGAAATGCAAATTACACTCGATCCTAAATGAAATGCATGTGACAAACATAACACAATTACGGAAATCGAAATACATAAACGAAACTAAATAATATGATATGCATGCAAAAGACCAAATCAAAATAAGATAAATAAAATAAAATAAAAACAAAGTCTAGCAAAGATACATCGTAAACGAAATATCAATCCAACGACTTATCCCAAAACAAACGAACTAAAAACAAAAACAAAAACAAAAAGGTTCAACAAACACCACCCTCAAACTCAAATTTTAGCATAGTCCCTATGCTCAAAAGCAGAATAATAAATAAAAGGGAAAGAATACACAACGTCCCTTAGTTGTTTAGGTCCTCCTCGTCGTCGCTCTCTATGACTCGTCTCGCCCGAGAGCTCTCGGGCCTATCCACAGCTGCAGCATGTCGTGGGAAAGGGAGGGGTTCTGCGATATCTGTGGTGTCGCACCCCATTTTGCTGGTGAGTGCCCGCAACATTTTCCCGATGAATGTCAGGTGTGTTTCGACTGCCTCCTTCCACTCTCGGTCCCCGTCGCCAATCTCTTGGACTGATTGCTTTCCTTTTTGGCGCGGTTGAGCAGCTCGTCGTGGAGCTGGAGCATTCTGGGCATCTCCCTCGTCGTCATCGCCTCCCATACCTGGATTGTCCGGCCCCACAACGTCCTTGTACGAAAAAACATCTTTGATAGGCAGTTGGGGTTTCATTGTCTCGTCGTTCTCCCGGGTCGGAACTCCTGCCCACTTACAAAGTCCGGTAATTAGTGATGGGAACATCGGACTAACTGAAAGGTCGCTGATGCACCTCCGCATCTCTTCGTAAATTATATTCCCTACATTGATGTCGATCCCTATGATGATAGCATAGATAAGAAGCAACCGGGGGGGAAGGACTGTGCTCACCGCCGATGTGGGCAAGAGGTGGGCCGAGACGAAGTTAGCGCACGCCTTTGCTTCCTTAGACAATTCTGAACGATTGAAACTTTTCTTCTCCCCTTTCCAGGATGTCCCCCTCGGGCACAAAGTTCTGATCAAATCATCGAAAATGGTTTTCTTTTTCACCGTGTTGTAGCCTTCCAGCGATAAGTCGGGCAAATTGAAGTAGTTGTTGATATGGGCAGGATCAAATCGAACTACAACATCTCGAACCTTGACAGATGTGTTGCTATCGGAATGAGCTGCATTGGCAAAGAACTCTCGGACCATGCTGACATTTGCCTCCCCTGGATCCTCAATGAACGATTGCCAACCTCGTTTCATGACATTGTCGAAAATTTCCGGGTTCCGTTCCTCGTCAAGAAGAAGTTCTCGCTCCGGGATGATCGACTTCGCTCGGTCTTGAAAATCCTTGGCGGCTTGTGGACTGACGAATGTGTGTGTCTGAAATTCATCATCGTCGATTGGTGCCGACGGAGCGTTCCTTTGGTTGGCTCGGGCCCAATTTTCTCTGGCACTTTTGACGAAGCCGTGGTTCGAGGCTTTTTCTTGCTCGGAGCCATATTGCAAGCGTTTGATTGGATAGGGTGGTAAATTAGCTTGAAATCTTCTTTTGGGCAATTCACCGAACACTTGGTGTGCGGTGTTTCGGTACACTATTGAATGCTCCTTTTTGCTAGGTACCTAACTCCTACAACAATGATCAATCAAACACAAGAATTAAAATCCATCATTCACAAACATAAACATAAATTCAACATTTAACCCAAGCAAATTTGACAAGAAATTCAAAATTAAGCATGTTAGGGTAATTCCTAAATCTAGACATTGGTTCAACCAAAAACTCATGCTTCAAACCCCAAGACTCATAAAAAAATGAACATTTGCAATACCCAACAAGAATCAAGGGAGAAGGAACAAGAAATTTGAAGAAATTCGAATTCTTTTTTTTTTTTTTTTTTTTGCAAAGGTTTCAAGGTTTGGGTATTCATACCTTGTTTGGAGATTTCATTCAATAATCTACCCCAAAAGTGCAAAAATACGTGTTAAAGTGAATGGGTGTAAGATTTTGTGAAAGAGTTGAGAAATTTTGGGCTCAAAATCGAATTTTTAGGAGTAATGTTTGTGATTTTGAAAGAGGGGAATGAATTTGAATTATGTTTTCTGCCTCTTTAATCTGCATAAACCGACACCCATATCGCGATACAGGAGTCCATATCGCGATATGGCCTTACCTGGGAGTTCTGGAAAGAGTGCCCCATATCGCGATATGGACACCCATATCGCCCGATATGGCAGAATTGCAGACTCTCTGTTTCCCATCCTACCATATCGCGATCTGGAAACACATATCGCGATATGGTACCTTTTACCAGCCAAAATTTAGAAAGCTAAAGAGGTGAAGTGACAGAAGTACGAGAAAAGCATATGCCAGAAATACGAGTAACAATGGGGTGCCTCCCATTTAGCGCCTGTTTTACAGTCGACGGCTCGACTTAGTTTGGATTTATTGGGAGAAAATCAGTGCAACACGCTCCACTTCCTCGGGCGCACCATTTAGGTAGTAATGCTTGACTCGTTGCCCATTGACTTTGAATGATGGGCCGTCTCGTCCTCGGATTTCAATAACTCCTTGTGGGGTTGCGCTCAGGACTACGAATGGCCCTGACCAACGGGACTTTAGCTTTCCGGGAAATAGTCGTAGTCGAGAATTGAATAGCAGGACTTGGTCACCTGCCCGAAACTCTCGCTTTGTAATTCTTTTGTCATGCCACTTTTTCGTCTTTTCTTTGTAAATCTTGGCATTCTCGTAAGCATCGTTTCTGAACTCCTCCAATTCATTGAGTTGAAGCAATCGACGATCGCCGGTAGCTGTTTGATCGAAATTGAGCTTTTTGACTGCCCAATAAGCTCGGTGCTCCAATTCCACTGGCAGGTGGCATGCTTTCCCAAACACGAGTTTGTAAGGAGACATCCCAATCGGTGTCTTGAATGCGGTTCGATAGGCCCAAAGTGCATCATCAAGCTTCAACGCCCAATCTTTTCGGTTCGTGCTCACGGTCTTCTCCAAAATCTGTTTGATTTCTCGGTTTGACAACTCAACAAGGCCATTTGTTTGTGGATGATAGGCAAGCGCAATTTTGTGTCGGATCCCCAACTTGTTCGTGAGATTAGTGAGCAGTTTGTTGCAGAAGTGAGATCCTTCATCGCTAATGATCGCCCTAGGTGTCCCAAACCTTGAGAATATGTTCTTGTGGAAGAATTTGAGGACTGTACGAGCATCGTTGGTAGTGGTGGCAATTGCTTCAACCCATTTGGACACGTAGTCCACGGCGAGCAGAATGTATAACTTCCCGTTCGAAGAAGGGAATGGTCCCATGAAGTCTATGCCCCAAACATCGAAAAGCTCCACCTCTTGCATGTTGTTCAAAGGCATTTGGCTTTTGTTGGATAGGTTCCCTGTTCGTTGGCATCGATCACACCGTTTCACGAACTCGTAACTATCTCGGAATAGGGTTGGCCAAAAGAAGCCTGACTGCAAAACCTTGGCGGCTGTGCGAGATTCCCCGTGATGCCCGCCACAAGGTGAAGAGTGGCAATGGGTGAGAATCTCACGTACTTCTGTTTCCGGAACACATCTTCGGATGACACGATCGGGGCCGGTTCTGAAAAGCAACGGCTCGTCCCAAAGATAGAAACGACTGTCGTGAAGGAATTTTTTCTTTTGGTGATAATATAGATCGTCAGGAATAATTCCACTGGCCAAGAAGTTGGCCACATCAGCATACCACGGAGTGTGAGTACTAATGGCGAGCAGTTGCTCGTCTGGGAATGATTCCTGAATATTTCCTTCGGCTGGAACTTCTTCTAGTATGAGTCTGGAAAGATGATCTGCTACCACATTCTCGCTCCCCTTTTTGTCTCTGATTTCCAAGTCGAACTCCTGGAGTAGGAGTACCCATCTGATGAGTCTGGGCTTGGCGTCCTTCTTTGCGAACAAGTATCGAATAGCTGCGTGGTCGGTGTAAATGATCACCTGAGATCCCAAAATATACGGTCTGAACTTGTCAACGGCATAAACGACAGCAAGCATTTCCTTTTCGGTCGTTGAATAGTTCTTCTGTGCCTGGTCAAGTGTACGACTTGAATAGTAGATGGCTTTGAAGATTTTGTCCCTCCTCTGTCCCAATACTGCACCTACAGCATAGTCGCTCGCATCGCACATGATCTCGAATGGTTCCTCCCAATTGGGAGTAATCATAATCGGTGATTGGGTTAGCTTCTCCTTGAGAAACGTGAAAGCCTGCAAACAAGCAGAATCAAAATCAAAGACGGCTTCCTTCTCAAGCAAATGACATAATGGTTTTACTATTTTCGAAAAATCTTTAATAAATCTACGGTAAAATCCAGCATGCCCCAAAAAACTTCTAACCCCCTTGACATCTTTCGGTGGAGGCAATTTTTCAATCGTTTCGATTTTTGCCCTGTCCACCTCAAGACCCTTTTTCGAGACCTTGTGACCTAGAACAATACCTTCACGAACCATAAAATGACATTTTTCCCAATTTAAAACAAGGTTCGTTTCTGTACATCTTTTCAAAACAAGTTCTAGATTATGCACACAATGATCGAAAGACGATCCAAACACAGAAAAATCATCCATAAACACCTCAAGAAACTCTTCTACCATATCGTGAAATATAGACATCATACATCGTTGGAAGGTAGCAGGCGCATTACACAAACCGAAAGGCATCATACGAAATGCAAAAGTACCGTAGGGGCAAGTAAAAGTAGTTTTCTCTTGGTCTTCCGGGGCGATTGAAATTTGATTGTACCCCGAATAACCATCAAGAAAACAGTAATACTCGAAACCTCCTAGCCTGTCTAGCATTTGATCGATAAAGGGAATGGGGAAATGGTCTTTTCTAGTGGCTGCATTCAATAATCGGTAATCGAAACACACACGCCACCCAGTGACTGTTCTAGACGGAATAAGTTCATTTTTATCATCCACAATAACCGTCATCCCACCCTTTTTTGGCACAACCTGCACCGGACTGACCCACGGACTGTCAGAAATTGCATAAATCATACCAGCGCCTAACAGTTTTAAGACTTCTTTTTTGACTACCTCTTTCATTGACGGGTTTAACCGCCTCTGAGGTTGGACTCTCGGTTTATAGACGTCTTCCATTAGAATTTTGTGTTGAACAATAGACGGGCTAATTCCCTTAATATCCTCAATAGACCAACCTATAGCTGACCTATATTCTCTAAGGACCTCCAGCAGTGTGTTTGTTTCGGCCTCGCTCAAACTAGAAGAAATAATCACCAGATAAGTCTTGTGTGCTCCAAGAAAAGCATAACAAAGATAATCCGGTAATTGCTTCAATTCCAGTACGGGGGCCGTTTTCACACTAACTGGTATCTCGAGGACGATTCCTACCTCGTCTACGCCCAAAGTCTCGGCACACTCAAGAAACAACACACAATCAAGCACATCATTTTCAATAGGGGTTTCAGGGGAGGCAGAATGCAAATCAATAGAATTAACAATGCAGTGCTCAACAGAATCACATAATTCATACAAATCAAAAAAGGAGGAAACACAGTCCTCGATCACGTCTATTCTACTGCAATGCTCAACATGCTCAGAGTGTTTAAATGCATCTGTCAAATTAAAAACAACTTCTTCCCCATTTACCCTAAGCATTAAAGATCCTAATTCCATATCAATCATCGCCTTACCAGTGGCTAAGAATGGACGACCTAAAATAATTGGTGCTTCATCATCTTCAGGCATTTCAAGTACCACAAAATCAACAGGAAAAATGAATTTATCTACTTTAACTAGCACATCTTCTACAATCCCATCGGGATATTTCAATGAACGATCAGCTAGTTGTAAAGTCATGCGAGTGCGGTTCAAATTTCCTAAGCCCAGTTTTAGAAACACAGACATAGGCATCAAATTAATACTTGCCCCCAAATCACATAAAGCTTTATCGAAAGTAGAATTTCCAATAATACAAGGAATAGTGTAACTCCCTGGATCTTTCATTTTCCGTGGTAGATTCGACTGAAGAATAGCACTGCAAGTTGCCGTGAGTGTCACTGGTATGTCTTCTTCGATCCGAATTTTCTTGGATAGGACTTCCTTCATAAACTTGGTGTAGTTTGGCATTACCTCCAAGGCTTCTGCAAAAGGGATGTTGATTCGAATCTGTTTGATCCTTTCAATGAACTTCTTCAATTGATCCTTGAACTTCTTCTTCTTCTGTCTTTCTGGAAAAGGAATAGGAGTTATCATAAGAGGGGGATTATCAGGAAAAGAAATGTTATTGGGCTTACTAGCCTCTTTTGTATTACTCCCTGAAATGGTGATTTCCGGCTCGACCGGGGTCGGTTGTACAGCTGGCCTTGGTGACTCGTCTGTCGGATAAGGAGGATCGGTCATTTGCAAACCACTTCGGGTGGTTATGGCTTGACAACTTTCTTTTGGATTAACTTCGGTATTGCTCGGAAATCCACCCTTGGCCATCGTGGACATGGATTGGGCGATTTGCCCTATTTGCTTCTCCATGTTCTTCATTGTTGATTTCAGGCCCTCCATTTCCTGTTCTTGTCGGTGAAGACGCTCGTCATACGTTGGTCCTCGTTGCTCTCTTTGATGGTTGAAATCGGGAGGTGGTTGTAGAGCATTCTTTGGATTGGCATATGAGAAGTTCTCGTGATTGCGAATTCCCGGGTGATAATGAGTAGGGTTTTTGTTCTGATTGTTGGTTCCCCGGAAATTGTTGAATCGGTGGTTCATAAAGTGTGCCTGCTCCCAATCGTCGTTTGTGGCTTGCGAAGTACTTGCCGCTGCTACTCGTTCGGTCTGTGGCCCTCGAACTGATAATTGGGCGACCTGATTTGATAGGGTCGCTAGTTGTGCTGAAACTGCGGCTAAAGGATCGAGTTGGTGGACTCCGGCCACCTTTTGTATACCACTCCGTTCGGACGGCCAATGGTAAGCATTCTCACACATTCGCTCGACAATGTCTCGAGCGTCTGTGGGAGTCTTGTTTTGCAATGATCCACCTGAGGCAGCATCGACTAGAGAGCGGGCTGGTTGATCGAGTCCATTGTAGAATAACTCCATTTGATCCCACAGGTTGAATCCGTGTTGAGGGCATTGTCGTAATAAGTCCTTGAATCTCTCCCAAGACTCGTGCATCGGCTCTTGGCTCATCTGTCTGAAATTGCCTACATCTCT